GGGCAAATGGTCTTCAACTAAACCAGTCCCTGGTGTTAAAATATTTGGGGACCACCAGTGTATGATATTCCACACTTAGGCTATATTCAAAATTAGTCCTGATTATAGTAGACATGCTGAAATCAATGAGATTTAAGTTATCTGTCTACCTTAAATATAAATCCTCACTTGTTTTGTCCTTTTATGCAAAGATGAAGGAACAAAGAATTATCCTCCATTGGCTGAGAGGGGGCACAGTATTTTGTGGTGCTCATGAGAAAAGAATAAAAAGGAACTTTTTTTGCAGAAAGTAAGCAAAATGCCCTCATAACACTTTAACAAAAACAAGGTGTCTAATTAAGCTACATAAATAAGCAGGTAAAGAGTATTATTTATATCCCTTATAGCCCTACTTGTGACTCTGTATGAGTTTCTCATCATACTTTAAAAAAATAGTACTTGCCTACAGGCTCTGTTCACTATATCATACCTATCAGCATTCTAAGTTCAGCCAAATCTCTTTTCTAAAACAAACCACCTTAGTGCCTTTCATATACACTTATTCCTTGCATCTGGCCTCAGTTATGACTTTCCTTCCCACTTTTCACCTTCCATCTATGCCTCCCTTTTGCTCAAACTTACTTGTATCCTGTTACTCTGACTCTGATCTCTTAAACCCTAATTCACCTCTTTTTTTCATGGAAATTGTTCTCTGTATTCCTCCTCCCCTTCTAGTTAACCACTGAATAATGTAATAGAACTATTTATATTTTGGAGATGAATAAATGACAACTATGAGGGTCTGTTCTAATTAGGAAAACAAACACTGCAAGAGCAGTATAAAATATATTTTGCACCCTTGTGTCTGAAATCCTGTTGCACAACTTTACACCACATAAGGCTGATGATGCAATCAGCTGCCACAGATTTTTTTTGAATTAAGTATTTATTAATTATGAAATTGACTGAGTATCCATATAAATGCTACACATCTAAGGAGGCAGTATTAAACAGACTATTTTTCCACAAAAAAAGCTTTCCTACCAAGCAAATGATCAACTCCTACTTGCTTCTCCTTAAAAATTAGGGGAAAAAAGAAAAAGGACGAGGAGGTAGCCAATAAGCATGTGCATCAACTGCTGTGGTTCTTCAGCACAGCAATCCTATATGGATTGAACAAGACTGGGACCTTAAACTGGGCAGACTAGTAATATGATTAATAAAACAACAACCCACTAATCTGACCCAATATTTTTTTGGAGAAGACCCTGTTTCAAGAAATGGTCCCTTTCCCAACTTCATGTTTCCAAATCATTTTACTAGATCTTCAGCTGATCACATTTACTATGGAGGAAGTCCCACTGAGTTCAATAACACTTTTAATCACATGTGCATAGGACTGCACAGTTAATTTTGGATTCTGCTTGCAAATGTATGGGACACTTTTGAAACCATTGGATCAAATTTCAAATGAGCATCCAGGGAATGCTTAATAACAATTTATATCTATGTAAATCTAAATGTACAAATCTTTCATCCTAATAATTTAAGTTTAAAAGTAGGAGTGTATCTTTGTTCAAGCCTGCTTCAATCACTGCTGGTTTTTTTAAAGAAGTGTTTAATACCTCACCGCTTGCAGTTATAGAAGGACCTGCCCACTCTGTAAAACTGAAGGTGGCAAAGGATGCCACATCTTTTTCACATTACCTGTCCCTCTGAATTTTCCAGAATTCTAAACACACTTTAGAACAGAGCTTCCCAGTGGAAAGAACAGGGCAGCTGCTTCAAATCTCCCCCTTACCACACAGAATTTAGCTTTGTCCTTGAAATATACCTGAGAGGTGTGGAAATGACTAAGAAATTATTATTGTGAGTTTGGTACAGTCTTAAGGGAAACCCAGAATATCACCAGTTCAGCTCAGAGGTTTCCTCCTCTGTACTTCATAGGTGAAACTGAGATGTGGGAGAAGCAGAAGGGCTACAAAAGTCTTTAGTGCTAAGGGCTATGTTTTTGTTCACAGCCTAATCCATTGTGCAACATCATTTCAGGAATAGACGGGAAAACATGTAATTACACATTTATGCCACCTTTCTCCCAGCAGTGGGACTCAAAGTGGCTCACAAATCATTAAAAAAGACAAGAACTAAAAACAACATAAAAAGTAATTAAAATTATTAAACAAGGAAAAAGTAAAATCATATATGAACAAATTAAGAAAAGCATTTAAAGACACATGAAAACAGTTACGTTGGCAAGCAAACATAGGCCAACGAGCTATGTTTAAATCAGGTATTAAATATGAAAAGCCTTTTGGAATTAAAAATGTTTTAAAGTGCTGCTGAAAAGAGAGGGCCAGCCTAGCCTCGCAGGGGAGGCATAACCAGGGGACAATCACCAAAAAGGCTCACTTTTGGGTCACTGACACACATACCTACAGTATAAAGGTGACAGCACTGAGGGAATCTCCTTCCCAGATGATCTGAAGACCTAAGGAAGGTTATAGGGGAGGAAGGGGATGCAGTCTAACAGACAGCGTAGAACCAAGCTCTATAGGGCTTTATAAGATAACCAGCGCTTTGAATTTGGTCTGGAAACAGACCAATAGTCAGTGAAGCTGCTGTCACAGGAGAGTTAAATGCTCCCTAGACACCGTCAATAGTCTGGCTACAGCATTTTGTACCAGGTGAAGTTTCCAAGCAGTTCTTCAAAAGGAAGCTCCACGTACAGTGTGCTGCAATAATCCAAACAGAATGGAACTAAGACATGAGTGAACTCAGATATTTCAAGGATGGGCACAGCTGGTGCACTAACTTGAACTGTGCAAATGCACTCTTGGCTCCTGACAAGACTTGGGCTTCCAGAAATGAGTCAAGAAACACTTTCAAATTGCAAGCCTGGTTTTTCAGGGGAATTATAACCTCATCAAGCACAGGGCGAATCCTTATTCTGTGATCTGCCTTTCACTTGAACAGAAAACCTCTACCTTGTCTGGATTAGATTTCACTCTGTTCACCCTCATCCAGTCCATTACTGATGGCAAGACCCTGATTTTGAACAGGAGCAGCTTCCTTAGGTGGAAAGGAGATTAAGATTTGGGAATCATTCATATAGTTGTGACACCAAATGCAAAGACTCCAGAAAACCCATGGTTTCATGTAAATATTAAATAGCATGGGGGACAAAAGAGAATATTGTGGGACACCAGGCCAAGGCACTGAACAGAAGCCCCCTGACACCACCTTCTGACTTTGCTTGTCCAGGAAGGATCAGAGCCACTGCAAAACAGTGCCTCCAAGTCTCATCCCAGAGAGATGATGCAGGATACCATGGTTGATGAGTTGAGCCTCGTGGCACAGTAGTTAAACTGCTATACTACTGCCAAAACTGTGCTCACAACCCGGGGTTCAATCCCAGGTAGATGGCTCAAGGTTGACTCAGCTTTCTATCCTTCCGAGGTCGGTAAAATGAGTACCCAGCTTGCTGGGGGGGGGGGGGCAATGTGTAGCCTGCATAATTAACTCGTAAACCGCCCAGAGAGCGCTTGAAGCACTATGGGGCAATATACAAGCAGCACACTTTGCTTTTTGATGGTACCAAAATCCCTTGCGAGAGCCAACAAAATCAATGGGGATACATAAAAAGGCCTGAAGCTAGATTGGAATGGATCTAGATCATCCATTTCATCTAGGAATTCCAGGAATTGAGAAGCCACCACCCACTCTAAAACCTTGCCCAAAAATGGAATACTGGAGACTGGCTGGTTAATTAACTAATACATTAGAGTTCAACGACGGTGTTTATAGTAGAGGTTTTATAACTGCATCCTTTAATAAACATGGCATCAGCCTACCTTTCTGCAAGGAGTTGTTTATTACACCTCTTAATTATTATTCTAGAACCATGTGATCAATTCATTAACTAATTAATTACTTAAAAAATTCTACTGGAAATAGGCTTTTTATAGTAGATTTTTTTTTAAGCTCAGTTGTTAAGACAATGAACAGATGTAATGCTTTTATATAATTTGGTTTAGTGCAGATGCTGAAATAGTCCTTTCACAATAAAATATATGCAGTATATGTAATTTCAGCTGGGTCTTCTGGCATGTTGAAGTGAAAATGTGTACCTGCAAGCTGTTTTATAGCTTCCTAGTCATAATTATCTCTGTTACACAGACTGCTACAACTGCAACTCTGCCTTCATGTGCAAGCTTTTCAACAATATCTTGACAATATCCGAAATTTTGCAAGGCATACTCTTCTCATTTTGCTTTGTTCAGAAGTCTGTTAAATTGTTTGATTTCACTCTGTAGAAAATTTATGAAGTACAGTAATCATTTTTTTTTAAAAAAATTACTATCAAGATAGTCTATATGAATCCCCCATAAAAGACTGGAAATAAAACAGTAGTTCAGTAATAACAAGACTATTCAGGATGTATACATAACAATTTTTCCTGGAAGGAACAGAGTTTGCATGGGGAGAAAAGGAACATCTATTGCAAACAGTGCTTTACTGCATTTAGAAATACAGAGGAACATGAAATGATGGCTGAAATTTCATTACAACTGTCACCAAATTTCTTGATTTGGAGATTATACAGACACCTCAGACAATGTGACAACTGGCAAATGATAGATACCAGTATCTCATATTAGTAGTCTGGCTGTACACAGAATGGAGTTAGAAGGTGTACACTGAATTCTTATTCCACTCTATAAAACTTCCTATTATCTGTATGGCTTTGTTGCAACTGAAGAAAATGGTTATCACAGTGACACAATATAGTACTTAATTGCCTAGTTCAGTGGCAGCGAACCTTTTTGGGCCCAAATACCCAAACTGGAAAAGAAAAGAAAAGAAAAAACCCAGCAGGTGGCAGCAGAACCAGAAGTGATGGCGGTGGAACTGGAAGTGGCAGCAGAAGGAGGAATCCCAGGCACGGAGGTGCCTTGAGACCCCACTCCGGATCCATTGCCAGCACTAGCTGCTCTGGATTCTGGCCTGCCACCTGTCAAAGCTGCAGCATTGCAGCTGCAGCCACCTCCTAAGGTTTGGCTGGGGGGGGGAGAGTGATCCGGCAACTTATGGCTAGCATGCCTGCAGAAAGGGCTCTTTGTGCCAGCTGTGGCCCGTGTGCCGTAGGTTCGCCATCGCTGCCCTAGACCATTCACTAATATTAATATTAGACAGGAATGCGGATAGGTGACTAGTGATTCAGGCTACAATCCTAGAAAGCTGCTTATGATTGTTCATAGCATAATGTTTAAAAACTGCAGTCCTACATACAAAGCATCTGTTCATAACCAGAGTTCGATCCCAATGGGTTCAGGTAGCTGGCTGAAGGTCAACTAGGCTTTCCATTCTTCTGACGATGGAAAAATACTCAGCTCATGTGTGTGTGTGTGTGTTGTTGTTGTTGTTTGCATAATTCTGTTGCAAACCACCCAGAGAGTGCTCCAAGCATTACAGAGCAGTATATAAGTTGAAACAATAACTGAAAATGAACTCTGAAACAGAGCATCAAAGCAGTTTTGCTTTCAAAGCCCTACCCAAAATACATGAAATATTCTTTAGGTATGTGGAGATATTGTGTAAATTCAATTCTGTGAAATAGCTGCAGTGGAACCTTAAAATATGCTGTCTTCTTTACCCCTTATCTACTTAACTGGGAGTAGCACCCACTGAAATAAATGGAACCTACATCTGAATGGCCAGATACAGGATCATGTTGTAAATCTTTTAAGCTATTTAAAAGACTGTATTTTCCTTCATGAGACTATGCAAGTATTAAGATAATCAAGAGAGGCTTCTCTCTCAGTCCCACCACTCCCACAGGTATATTTGGTGGGTACATGGGAAAGGGTCTTCTCTGTTGCTGCTTCCAGACTCTAGGACTTCCTCCCATGGGAAGGCAGGATGGCCCCATATTTGCTGTCCTTCCACAAGCAGATGAAGACCTATCTCTTCAGGCAAGCTTTCCTTTCAATAACGGGTTGACCAAAGGGATTTTTCAAAGGGAAGATTTTACTCTTTTTACTTGTTCTTATGAGTTAATATGATATTTGTTAAATGGTTTTTAAATATTGTAATAATTTATTATTTGGTTCTTAACTTTGTCTCAATACTGTAAACCACCCTGGATCCTTGAGGAAAAAAAGGTGGCATATCAATACTGTAAATAAATAAAAATACAGCAGATCCAGTCAGTAATCTGTTCTAATCAGGATTGTTGTGTTATGCTGAGCATTCCTCTTGGAGTTTAGCCTTGAGTCCCTTTACTTGCCATGCTGCCATGAGGGTGGCTTGTTATGTGTATGTAAGATCTTCAGCTGCAGTTATAGAAACAAAGGCAAATAATAACAGGAACTCTTGTAGGTGTTGCTTTTTTCACACAATCTGTATTCAAAGTTCTGTTAGTTATACATACCATTAGGATTCCACTGGTCTTCTCCTCCCAATACGAACAAAAAATTTTCTACTTCGACAACACAATGATGGGCACTATTATACGGCATAACTGTGAATAAAACAGATATTCTTTATCAAGTTCCATCTTAGTACCATGATTATTTCAAGCCATTTACTTTAGAAAAGCTCTAGACATTTCAGAGATGATGAAACTCTCCTTCAGTTGCTAGACATTTCAGAGATGATGAAACTTTTCTTCAGTTCCTAGACATAGATCCAGTGAAATTAAAGGTATACTCAATTCTAGTTCTCTATTTCTAAATTATTGAAAAAATAACAAGATGAAATAATCAGTAATTTCTCCAACATAACCACTTGCTGTTTTTCTTAACGCGCTTAGTGCACTATCTATAGCTGGGCTGTTTTGTACTGATACAAACTTATAACCACCACTTGTACTGAGCACAACAAATTTTAAATGTAACTGCAAACCATACAGACTTGAGGATATCTAGCAATTTCTGGCACTGTTTGTGACCTGTAGGAGATGTCATACAGCTCCTGCAGGCCTACAGATCCAGACTGGGAGCTGACTGTGACTTCACCAGCCAGTCACAGTTTCTGCTGGGGCTGAGAGGGCAAACAACAACAACAACAACAACAACAACAACAACAAAACCTTATGGCAGGTCTGTGAACTATGCCCTTGAAAAAAGGAGACACTGCAAACACTGCATCTCTAACAGTAAACCTGTCGTAAACAGCAAGAAGCAATATAACAAAGAATTGCAAAAACACATCTTTGTTCTGTTTTGCCACATTTCTGCAAGACTCAAAAGAGTATTCAGTATGTTCCTCTTACATAGCAATAAGGAAGCTGCATTTCCACACAGTTTTAAATTTTTAAATTAAGGTCCTGCTGATTTAATGCTTTCTCCAAATGTATATGTTTAATTCCCTCTACAATGTCATTAGCAGCACAATCAGACATTTCCATTCATCTAATCAGAAGTCTCTTTGTGGAAAGAGCAAAACTTGAGTTGCAACATCCTTATTAATGTTTGTGGGGACAGGATTATTATTGGGGAGGGGAGAGAAGTAGGAAATCTTTTTTTCTGTTTCATATATTTTCTCAATACAAGAGCTGTGGTATGAAGATGCTATTTTAGAGCTATAAAATATATTACTCTGTGATGGTATGCGACACTATCAAAAATCGTATGTTGAAATGCATACTTACACAGCTTTAGTTATCATATCAAATGCAGTAGTTCTGGCCCGGTGTCACGAGTAGGAAAAATAATGTCCTTGTTCATCTCATCATATGGGCACCTTAAATCTAGGTGAGGACAAATGGGGAGGTGATGTGCATGTATAGGCAGGGAACTTATTGCTTGACACGGATCAACAGAGCACTTAGGAAACCAGTGCAGTGGGAAATCAATATGACTCAGGGCCAGCTCTTACTCTGTGCTCTTTTGCCAGTGCCAAAAAAAGAGAGGCAGCCTATCTCACACTTGGATTATTTTTGGTGATATATCTCTCATTTCATTTGTTTTATTATCTTTTATTTTTCTCAATGCACTCGAGCCGTATAGCATATGCAAATAACAATAAGAAATATGTGCAGCTTTCTTGTTTAGGACATATTTTCTTAAAGATCAAGTAGTCTAATTTAAGCATCTTACCGTAGCTTCCGCCCCCCCCATTTTATTTTTATTTTTTTGCCAAGGCAATGATGAATAAGCAAGGTGCATATTTAGCTGCTTGTAAAGGTCAAATATTATTTTCATAGTCTCTGCCTGTACAGCTGTTTAAGCAAAAGCAATTTTTAGGCAGCTAGGTTTAGTGAATGTGCATTAATTAATTAATGTTACTCATTTTAGGAGGTCTTCTAAAGATATTAAACAGCCAGACCTAGACACTGTTAATCTTTGAATGACCTACATAACTAGTACCACAAAAGCGAATAAGATATTCCAGAATCTGTCATTTATAGGCCTTGGAAACCTAAAGGCTTAATTAGGTTAAGACTATTAGAATGGCTTAATTTTCTAGATAGATATATTTTTATATTTATGAACAGTTGCTACCATTGTTAAAATTAAAACTTGTGTTTATTTGCTTTTGTGCATTATAAACTATAAAAGCCTTCAAGAGGTAGGTCTCAAAAAGGAGTTCTGTTGCTATTTTAATTCATGACAAACTTCATCCCAATTCTATCACCATAGGTATGGAGACTTTCAAGTATTTTCCCAGATGAAACTCAGCAAACAACCCAGTTGGCTGGGGCTTAGTGGTCCAAGTAGGTGGGTAGCCTCCCCCTGAAATGGTGACGGCTGCTCAGGCTACAAGATGGTATAAAACATATGCGGATAACCATCTGTCATATCTGCTTTGATCTGGATTCATGCACTAAGCAAGGAATGCCTCATTATCACCACCTGTGTGGGGGCATTTGTGCACAAATACAAATACCCCCATCTCTGTAAGTAATCTGTAAAGAAACATTTCCAGGATGGGTACAATTTATGCTCCTACAGCACACCACCACATAGAATTAAAGTGGTCGTCATACTGTTGGTTATATATTTTAATTTGTAGTATAATGATAAGGCAACCATTTTTTTCATCATTATAGCAAACATTGCTTTCAGAGCTTAACGACAACATAATCTGAGCAGAAGTGACCTAATTGTTTAATGTCAAAATACATGCAGCTCCACATATACCCTAGATGTGTAGAAATGGCAGAGTATCACAGATTTAAAAAGATATTTAAAAATCTCAGTGTTATGATCTTATCAATCTGATTGGCAGACACAGGTGCAACTTTCAAAGGAAGAAACAGAAATAAGGGTCTAAAGCAAGTCACTCAGACAAGAAAAAAGGTTACAGTTGCAAAATGTAAATTTTATTAGTGTCTTAACAAGTGAGAAAACTGTCTACAGTATCTAGATGTGTATGCCAATGGAGATAAAGAAAGTTGAACTGGGGACTTCTATTTCTGACAAAGATTTGTCCAGCAGAAAATAAGCCAAATTTACACCCCAAAAAACTTACTTTTTATTTATTTATTTATTTATTTATTTATTTATTTATTTATTTATTTATTTATTTATTTATTAGACTTGTATACCCCCCCAACGAGAACATGTCTACTCTGGACGGTTAGCTTATCATACAGACATTGACTGTTAAAGTACAAGAAAAAAGTCCCAGTAGGCCATGGGACCCTTTCAGCATAAGCATATGACACGTTTCTGAGTTCTGAAGGAGACAGTGACACCTTGCGCATTGGAGAACCTCACATTTTCCATGCCCCAAGTTGCCTTTCAAGGAATTTTACTACATTCACTATGAATTTGTGGATGTAAATCATACAGAGTATGGGCCAGTGTATAGTGTAGTGATGCAGACCATTGCTTCCATTAATTGTACACTGTCCTCTACTTTGCTGACTTATTTTAATATGAGTTTCAGACTCCCCCATCTTTCTATTTGCATTTCATCTCAGGTGAGTACCTATCTTCCACCTCAAAAAGAGGTTTTGAAAAGAAGTTTGTACGCCACGCTCAAACACAGTCCAGTGCGAGTTTTTACCGTGTCAGTCAGTGAGTTAGAGGGAAAGGGTAAAGAGAAGCTAATCAGGATGAAATGAGATTAAAGGCTGTCTAATTTTACAGCAACTGTGATCCATCAGCCACTGTGAAAGTGACAGTGGAAATGAATGATGGAGACAGACAGGTGGGGCTGTACATTTCACTGATTTATCCTCAAATGCACTGGGCCTTATTTTATTGAGTGAACATGACCGCATTTATCATGACTGTCATCTAAACCCACTTCCCTCCATTTAAAAAGGTCACTTTACTAGGAGGAAGTAGGATAGAGGCACTTTCAAAAGAGGTTTAAAAATCTAATAACATGTGTTTATACAGCTCTGTGCAGGAACTCTCAGCTTTATTAAACAAACTAGTGGAGCTAAATGAAAGGAGAAAAGACCAATAAATAAAAGGATAAATTTGACATACTGTATCAAAAACAGGTACAAGGACCAAAGTACAGTACTGGCCAAGAAACATAGCTACACATATGTAGTTATATTAGAAAAAACAAGCACAGATAGTTTCTCTTGTCTTTTACTCTTTTTTTCAAGCTCAAAAATTTCAAGATATGGGACTACTGGTGGAATAGAAGCAATCTCCTCTCTAATCCTTAATTCATGGTTCAGAAACCTTTTCTCAGTATATTCTAAAGAGTTCATTTCCTCCATTAGCTATATATGAGTGGGCTTCCCCTCTTTCCACTGCTTTCCACTGCACACAGCTTAGATTGTAGTTATAGATGTAATCCTTTGTTGAAGAGCATCAGACAAGTAATGATACACTAGGAAGATTTTTTCCTGCCAAAATCAAACACAGATGAGTGTGCCTTGCTCCCTCACTACCTCCACTGGGCCCCACCCATCTAATTTATAATTGTTTACAATGATACCACTCATATTACAATTCCAGTGCAGTATCTTGAGTCCTTTAGTTTGCTTGCTACGGTGTCCTGCAAGATTATGCCACTTGTAATTACTTCTGCACTCCCACCAAGAAAGATGACACAGCTAGACTATGCACCAGTTCCATCAGTTTGTCAGTGAGATGTGAAGGACAGATGTATTGTTCCCAATGGACAAAAGCTAAGAACCCTCAGACAAATGCAGTTGCTCCAGAATTTAGGAATGCAAACATTTCTGTCATATTATACATGAGTGTTATAGCAAATCCACCGCTCAGAAATTATTTGTTAATTTTAATTCAGTAATATTTAATTCTGGTTAATGCACTTACAATGTAATGTTGATGTTAATCAGTGCTATGCCTTCCTAAGAGGCCACAAGCTGGCTATCTCACTGTTGAAGGCCATTTGATATACTAATTCCTCTGGTATCTAAATTAAAAGGTGGTGTGGGGATTGACTCATCTCAATCTATGACTGAAAAGGTCAAACATTAGTTGGAGTTGAAAATCTCAAGTGGTGGATAAAAGACCCCCTGTTTCGTACAGAATAAAATGGTGTTCCTTAGTCATTTTTTAAGGCTCAGTGTCTATATAATCA